ATGAGTTGATGAGCTAGGTGAGGTAAGGGAGAATGTCTCCGGAAATGGTCTGGAGAAGAGAGGAGGGGATAGGGTCAAGCGGGTAGATTCTTGGGCGGCCAGCTGTCACAAGTCGCAAGATTTCATCTGGAGAGAGAGGGGAGAAAGAAGTCAAAGCATAGGGTAGGGCAGTGTGAGCAGGACCAGCGGTGTCATTTGACTTAGTAAATGAGGATCGGATGTCGTCAACCTTCTTTTCAAAATGGTTGACGAAGTCATCCACAGAGAGGGAGGAGGGAGGGGGAGGAGGAGGAGGATTCAGCAGGGAGGAGAAGTTGGCAAAGAGCTTCCTAGGGTTAGAGGCAGAGGCTTGAAATTTAGAGTGGTAGAAAGTGGCTTTAGCAGCAGAAACATAGGAAGAAAAGGTAGAGAGGAGGGAGTGAAAAGATGACAGGTCCGCAGGGAGTCTAGTTTTCCTCAATTTCCGCTCGGCTGCCCGGAGCCCTGTTCTGTGAGCTCGCAATGAGTCGTCAAGCCACGGAGCAGGAGGGGAGGACCGAGCCGGCCGGAAGGATAGGGTACATAGAGAGTCAAAAGATGCAGAAAGGGAGGAGAGGAGGGTCGAGGAGGCAGAATCAGGAGACCGGAGGGAGAAGGATTTAGCAGAGGGAAGAGATGATAGGATGGAAGAGGAGAGAGTAGCGGGAGAGAGAGAGCGAAGGTTACCATCTGAGTAGGGGCAGAGTGAGTAGTGTTGGAGGAGAGCGAGAGAGAAAAGGATACAATGTAGTGGTCGGAGACTTGGAGGGGAGTTGCAGTGAGATTAGTGGAAGAATAGCATCTAGTAAAGATGAGGTCAAGCGTATTGCCTGCCTTGTGAGTAGGGGGGGATGTTGAGAGGGTAAGGTCAAAAGAGGAAAGGAGTGGAAAGAAGGAGGCAGAGAGAAATGAGTCGAAGGCAGACGTCGGCAGGTTAAAGTCACCCAGAACTGTGAGGGGTGAGCCATCCTCAGGAAAGGAACTTATCAAGGCGTCAAGCTCATTGATGAACTCTCCAAGGGAACCTGGAGGCCGATAAATGACAAGGATGTTATGCTTGAATGGGCTAATGACTTTGACAGCATGGAATTCAAATGAGGAGATAGACAGATGGGTCAGGGGGAAAAGAGAGAATGTCCACTTGGGAGAGATGAGGATCCCTGTGCCACCGCCGCGCTGACCAGATGCTCTCGGGGTATGCGAGAACACATGATCAGACGAGGAAAGAGCAGTAGGAGTAGCAGTTTATTCTGTGGTAATCCATGTTTCCGTCAGTGTCAAGAAATCGAGAGACTGGAGGGTAGCATAGGCTGAGATGAACTCTGCCTTGTTGGCCGCAGAACGGCAGTTCCAGAGGCTGCCGGAGACCTGGAACTCCACGTGGGTCATGCGCGCAGGGACCACCAGATTAGAGTGGTAGCAGCCACGCGGTGTGAAGCGTTTGTATGGCCTGTGCAGAGAGGAGAGAACAGGTCTAGACAGACACATAGTTGACAGGCTACAGAAAAGGCTACAATAATGCAAAATCTGGGGAAGCGAGAGAGCGGGGCCTCCCTCGACTAACTCCCGCAGAACAACTTGGCAGAACTGTCTTTGTTTCAGGGACAGTCTTCGTTTTGGGGACAGCTGCCGCAGACAGCTGCCGCTGAACAAAGAGGTTGTGGTAATAACACTAAGCTAATTGCCTAGAACAAGTGTAGCCACTTCCCCTCCTATTGAGTTGTAATCTGCAGAGAACAAAATAAGTGGCTGGCCCTGCGTCCAGTGTGAATGGGTAGCAATCGCTTTTTAAGCAGACTGGGTAGCTTACTAACTATGACAGACAGACAGAACCAACACAGTTTACAAGTTAAAACAATTCTACTTACAGAATCAAGCAGGATCCATCCAAGACTATTATTTGACACTAAATACATGCTCCTTGCTTGTTCTGCCACTATGCTTCATCTGTAAACGGCACAGATTAACCATCTTTGGCTAGTTATAAATACCTTTGTCAATACAGTTATTTGTTAGCTAGGGAATTTGAGCCTTATTAGCATAGAAGTGACATGAGTCAAAACACTTCAAAACATGACATGTTATAAAGAACAAGATAAAACTAGCTGAAATGAGCCATCCAGAATCACATCAACACACAGACTTTCTGACCCATTGAAGTGTGTGCATCGTTTTCATGACTGTCAGCTAACCTGTCTATAGGCAGTGCTTTTACACAATGTAGAAACCTAATATTCCACAAATAACTTTGTTATTTCCAATGACAGGTTTTTGTATCAACATTTTAGCTTTTTATAATAAACTAGTGTCTTTACAGGGTTAAATATTAGTTATTATGGGAAGTGTCCGCAATAAGGTAACACAGGGGGCCGCTTATGGATTTGAAACTCTAATGCTCCACCTCAGCTCCACCTCCGATAAAGTGAAATCAACCACTGTACAGCAACAGCTAGTGCGGTTCCGGATTCAATCTAGACCCTAACGTTTAGTAAACTGAGGGGGCGAGGAAGTGTTGAGGATCATATTGAAGTGTTGTGGGGAAAACTGCTACAGTCACTTACTTAGATTTTTTTTTGTCACTCTTTGACAGAGATCAGGGAACAATGCCAGACTGCATCTCTTACACTTCTAAAGTGAACATTCTGTGGTTTCAACTCATCCTCACAGGCAATGTTCCCTCTAAGCTGCAATGTTACCTCTAACCTACAATGTTCCCTCTAAACTGCAATGTTCCCTCTAAACTGCAATGTTCCCTCTAAGCTGAAATGTTCCCTCTAAACTGCAATGTTCCCTCTAAACTGCAATGTTCCCTCTAAGCTGCAATGTTCCCGCTAAACTGCAATGTTCCCTCTAAGCTGCAGTGTTCCCTCTAAACTGCAGTGTTCCCTCTAAGCTGCAATGTTCCCTCTAAGATGCAATGTTCCCTATAAACTGCAATGTTCGCTCTAAACTGCAATGTTCCCTCTAAACTGCAATGTTCACTCTAAGCTGCAATGTTCCCTCTAAACTGCAATGTTCCCTCTAAACTGCAATGTTCCCTCTACGCTGCAATGTTCCCTCTAAACTGCAATGTATCCTCTAAGCTGCAATGTTCCCTCTAAACTGCAATGTTCCCTCTAAACTGCAATGTTCCCTCTAAGCTGAAATGTTCCCTCTAAACTGCAATGTTCCCTCTAAACTGCAATGTTCCCTCTAAGCTGCAATGTTCCCCCTAAACTGTGTGCGTATGTGGCCGCGCTACTGCCACACAGAATAAATATCAGTCCATTTATACATAATTTGTAGTCAGCAATACGGGAGTGACTGTTTCCTACAAGAGCACAAAATGTGTACATTTTTAGACATCTTTGAAAAGCGAGTCAGGTAAAGAGATTTTTTTTGTCTTAAAAGGGCAGTGTTGTATTTTGAGACAGGCTTGAATAAGCTAAGTAGCCGATAGGGAGAGGGTAGCATAATCTGTCTTATTCTCTGTAACAATGTTATGGGAATAATAATTCATTGTATTTTGTAATGCGAAAACAGGTTTTTAGAAATGTTTACACATTTATTTATGTAAGTATTCATACCCTTTGCTATGAGACTCTAAATTGAGCTCAGGTGCATCCTGTTTACATTGATCATCCTTGAGATATTTCTACAACTTGATTGGCGTCCACCTGTAGTAAATTTAATTGACACGACATGATTTGGAAAGGCACACACCTGTCTATATAAAGTCCCACAGTTGACAGTGCATGTCAGAGCAAAAACCAAACCATGAGGTCGAAGAAATTGTCCATAGAGTTCAGAGACAGGATTGTGTCGAGCCACAAATCTGGGGAATGGTACCAAAAAAATTCTGCAGCATTGAAGGTCCTCAAGAACACAGTGGCCTCCATAATTCTTAAATGGAATAAGTTTGAAACCACCAAGACTCTTCTTAGAGATGGCCGCCCAGCCAAACTGAGCAATCGGGATAGCAGGGCCTTGGTCAGGGAAGTGACCAAGAACCCAATGGTCACTCTGACAGACCTCCAGAGTTCCACTGTGGAGATGGGACAACCTTCCAGAAGGACAACCATCTCTGCAGCACTCCACCAATCAGGTCTTTATGGTAGAGTGGCCAGATGGAGCCACTCCTCTGTAAAAGGCACATGACAGCCTGCTTGGAGTTTGCCAAAAGGCACCTAAAGACTCTCAGACCATGAGAAACAAGATTCTCTGGTCTGATGAAACCAAGATTGAACTCTTTGGCCTGAAGCCAAGCGTCACGTCTGGAGGAAACCTGGCACCATCCCTACTGTGAAGCATGGTGGTGCCAGCATCATGCTGTGGGGATGTAATTCAGCGGAAGGGACTGGGAGACTAGGCAGGATTGAGGGAAAGATGAACAGAGCAAGGTACAGAGAGATCCTTGATGACAACCTGCTCCAGAGTGCTCAGGACCTCAAACTGGGGCAAAGGTTCACCTTCCAACAGGACAACAACCCTAAGCACAAAGGCAACACAACGCAGGAGTAGCTTCGGGACAAGTCTCTGAATGTCCTTGAGTGGCCCATCCAGAGCCCGGACATGAACCTGATCGAACATCTCTGGAGAGACCTGAAAATAGCTGTGCAGCGACGCTCCCCATCCAACCTGACAGAGCTTGAGAGGATCTGCAGAGAAGAATGGGAGACTCTCCCCCAAACATAGGTGTGCTAAGCTTGTAGCATCATACCCAAGAAGACTTGAGGCTGTAAGCACTGCCAAAGGTGCTTCAACAAAGTACTGATTTAAAGGGTCTGAATACTTATGTAAATGTCATATTTCCGTTTTTGTATTTTTAATAAACTTCAATTTCTAAACCTGTTTTTGCTTTGTCATTATGGGGTATTGTGTGTAAAATAACGGTTTTGAGAAATAATACATTGGAACACAGTTTCATGTCTTAGCCTGGTTTGTTTTTGTTGTTTTATCCCTCACTGAAAAAACTGGTGCAAACTATTCCTCTCTCTTTAGGGATCTGGGCTGAAGTCCCAAAGGAGAAGTATGGATTGAAGGGGGGTTCGGTGTGCCTGCCTGTAGAAGAACCACCGGAGGAGCTTGTAAGACTACGTTGGAAGGTCAATAGTACAATAATAGTAACTGACAAAAAGGTCTCTCCTAAATACAAGGAGAAAGTGGAATATAATCCAGTGAACCACTCTCTGTGCATTAATAATCTGAGTGAAAAAGACAGGGGAATTTACATTGCAACCTATGAGAGAAATTGGGAAGAGTCAACTACTACATACAGACTAACAGTTCAGGGTGAGTTTGATGCACTAAGGTCCATGATAGGCAGCTATCAGCTTTTTTCTCATTGTTTGATTTAATTCTCTGTGACTGTAGTGTTATTGACAACATCTTACTTTTTACATTTGATATTTTATCATCTGCTAGACGGTGGAGAATGATTATAACTCTCTCTTTCTCTCTCCTGGTTGGTCAGAGCCTATATCCAAGATGGTTATCCAGACGGACATCAAGCTATTGGCCAACCAGTCCTGTTCAGTGTGGCTGCTGTGTAACGTGTCAGTCTTCTCCAACATCTCCTACATCTGGGAGAGAGGGAATGAGACGTACAGGGACAACCAGCAGATACACTTCTCTCTGTCACCATCAGACGGAGACATCAGTGTAACCTGCACTGCCTCCAACCTAGTCAGTGAGAAATCTGCCTCTACAACAGTGAAGTGTGGTAATGACACAACCACCCCAGGTAAGTAGATATCATAATAATCCACTCCATACACTTCAGTGTGCTGATATGCTTATGTTGTCAAATATCATATATAATGTAATATTCTCTTAACATTCTGTTAGACATGTTTTAGAGCTTCATTTACAGTCACCTCCAAAAGTATTGGCACCCTTGATCAAGATGAGCAAAAAAGACTGCAGAATAAATACTTCAAATACTGAGCTTTAGTGTATGCTCAAAAAAAGGGGAAATTATATTATTTTATTCTAACACAATAGCTCAGAGAAAGAGATTTTGTTTAACAATTAATGATTTAGTTTCTCAAAAAGATACTTTAGGTGTCAAAATTATTGGCACCCCTTTTTCCAATACTCCAGCACCCTCCCTTGCGAGGATGTTATGTTGCCTACCCTCACCACCTGGGTTTGGCCCGTCAGGAAGTCCATGATCCAGTTGCAGAGGGAGGTGTTAAGTCCCAGGGTCCCAAGCTTGGTGACGATTTTATGAGGGGACTATGGTGTTGAACGCTGAGCTGTAGTCAATGAACAGTATCGTATCTGAAGATTATGCCTTTGTTAAATGTTTTTCATGACGAAATGGAATGTTGGTTGTTCAGGCCAAAGGGGGGATGTTTTATGATGTTATTTGAAATGTGCCGCTTGGAGGGTGACGCCCGAGGGGAGACTGGTGATTGGCCAGAAGAGGGAGTAGCCCCTCCCTTTGCATTGTTTATAAATAGGGGTTAAACGATGAGACGGCAGAACGGCCATAGCAATCTGGGAGCCGTTCTCCGGACATCGCGAGTCTGTATCTATGCTGTAAATTCGTGATTTTAATAAAAGCCTCTAACACGATGCAGCATAGCGAACTCTTTGTTGACGGCAATAATGACCACCATTCATCATATACGACAACAGCATTCTCACATAAGTATTCGTTTTATCTAGGTGGGTGAGGGAAGTGTGGAGTGAAATTGAAATTGCATCATCTATGGATCTATTGGGGCGGTATGCAAATTGGAGTGGGTCTAGTGTGTCTGGAATGATGGTGATGTGTGCCATAACCAGCCTTTCAAAGTACTTCATGATTAAAACCTGGTTGCCTCTGCCAGGAAATTTACCAAAAAATCAACATTTTGCAATGGCCATCTCAGTCTCTGAACCCCATTGAAAACCTGTGGTTTGAATTGAAGAGGGCAGTCCATAGGCACAGACGAAGGATATCAAGGATCTGGAAAGATTCTGTATGGAGGAATGGTCTAAGATCCCTCACAGTGTGTTATCCAATCTCATAAAACATTTGCTTATCTTTACCAAGAGTGTACATCATTTTGGCAGGGACTGTAGTTATCCTGTATGGTCTAATAGCATAACATTGACATGGGTGATATTATTGACTATCTTACAGGGCGGGTGTGGTATAGCATCTGCATCGCAGTGTCAGTGAGTGGCGCAGGGGTGCTGATCCTCATTGTAGCTGTGGCAGTGTATAAGTGCAGGGGCCGCCGTAACACAGGTATGCACAGCATAGGGGTCTCAACTATATAAAGTCACATTTCAGGTGGCTCTGCAAGTATTCTTAAGATGATTATGATGTTGCATAAGCATAATTAGAGGCTTTTTTTAATGTTGGCTTTGGAATATTATGAACATTTGAAAAGGAGAGAGGAGCCTCATAATTGTCTCATTTATTAATTCCTGGTTATGTTTGTGGATATCCTGTTTAGTATCTATCTGATTGGTTGATATTTTGTTATTGTCAAACACAGAATATCAAACTGACAACACAATATATGTGGATGTTATGGGCAACACAACAATTAAAGATGTAAGTATGCATTGCCATTATTATGTATCTGAATGTGTGTAAGCCAATGTATGTGTAGCCTACTGTAATTTCTGATTGCTGTGTATTTTGATGTTTTTGTGCAATGTTCATCCATTGTGTTTATGGGTTTAAGTATCTATTTCTGTTTTTATTCCAGACAAGAGGGACTGTGGATGACCTGGCTGACCCAAGACTGAACAAGGTGAGAGCGAGACATGAATGGTCATACCTGATGTCTTTGAACAAAACATTTAATAAAACAGTCTATGAGTGAATGGCAGACCATGTAGTCTACATTGGAAATTGTCTACCTTTCATGATGCTGAAACAGTTTCTTCTTGGTTGTCTGTCACATTTAGCCGCAGACTCTGTATGACACGATCAAACTTGGACGCCCAAAAGCGCCGTCTTCTGCCAACCAGAAAGTACTGTGAGCTGAGCAGGATGTGGTCATGGGATGGGCCTTATATCTCTGCATCATCTGCACCCTTGGCTACATTCTGTAGATAGATGTTAATGTTCAATTTTATCACGACCTGCACATTTATGAAATAGTTTTGCTTATTTTTTTCTTGATTGCAATCTTCTCCCTTTGTTGTTCCTCATATATACAGTACCTTCAGAAAGTATTCACACCCCTTTAATTTTTCCACATTTTGTTGTGTTACAACCTGAATTTAAAATTGATTTTGTCACTGATCTACACCATAATGTCAAAAGTGGAATTTAGTTTTTAGACATTTTTTCAAATTAATAATAAATGAAAAGCTGAAATGTCTTGAGTCAATAAGTATTCAACCCCTTTGTAATGGGAAGCCTTAAGTTCAGGACACAAAAATGTGCTTAACAAATCACATATTAAGTTGCATGGATTCTGTGTTCAATAATAGTGGTTAACAGGATTTTTTAAATGACTACGTCATCTCTGTACCCCACACATACTGTACAATTATCTGTAAGGTCCCTCAATCGAGTAGTGAATTTCAAGCACAGATTCAATCACATAGACCAAGGAGGTTTTTCAAAGCCTCGCAAATAAGGGCACTGATTGGTAGATGTGAAAAAAATAAGCTAAATATCCCTTTGAGCAAGTTATTAATTAGGCTTTGGATGGTGTATAAATACACCCAGTAACTACAAAGACACAGGTGTCCTTCCTAACTCAGTTGCCAGAGAGGAAGGAAATTGCTCAGGGATTTCACCATGCCGGTGGTGATTTTAAAACTCTTACAGAGTTTAATGGTTGTGATATGAGAGAACTGAGGATGGATTGACAACATTGTAGTTATTCCACAATACTAACCTAAATGACAAAGTGAAAAAAGGAAGCCTGTACAGAATACAAATATTCCAAAACATGCATCCAGTTTGCAACATGGAACTTAAGTAAGCAATACTACAAAACATTTAGCAAATACATTTTTGTCCTGAATACAAAGCATTATGTTTGGGGAAAATCCAACACAACACTTCTTTGAGTACCATTCTTCATATTTTCAAGCATGGTGGTGGCTGCATCATGTTATGGGTATGCTTGTCATCAGCAAGGAGTTTGTTAGGATACAAATAAATGGAATACAGCTAAGCACAGGCAAAAGCCTATAAGAAAACCTGGTTCAGTCTGCTTTCCCACAGACACTGGGAGACAAATTCACCTAAAACACAAGGCCAAATCTACACTGGAGTTGCTTACCAAGACAACATTGAATGTTCCTGAGTGACCTAGTTACAGTTTTGACTTAAATTGGCTTGAAAACCTATGGCAAGACATAAAAATGGCTGTCTAGCAATGATCAACAGCCAAGTTGACAGAGCTTGAAGAATTTTAAAAATAAAAAGGGCAAATATTGTACAATTCAGGTGTGCAAAGATCTTAGAGACTTACCCAAAAAGACTCACAGCTGTAATCATTGCCAAAGGTGTTTCTAACATGTATTGACTCAGGGGGATGAATACTTATCTAATCAAGATACTGTATATCAGTGTTTTATTTTCATTAATTTGTAATAAATGTTAGAATTTTTCTAACACTTCGACATTACAGAGTATTTTGTGTAGATCGTTTACCAAAAATTTGAAATAAATCCATATTAATCCCACTTTGTAACACAACAAAATCTGGAAAAAAGTAAAGGGTGTGAATATCTTTTATTTTCAAAAGATTCAGGATTAACTTACTTTTTGATTTAGTTATAGTGTATTCTATTGTTGCATTGACTGTTTATATTAGTGTAATAACAACTAATTTATGTCCAAAAATATATTCTGAAAGAGTAGTGCTGATTCTGTGCAACTGCCACTATGGGGGGGGGGGGGGGGGGGGGGGGGGGGGGCATTGCCTACCTAAATGTAATATTCAAGCAACAGTTGAATAAAGTTATATGTTACTCATAATTCATTATCTTATCATCAATATTGATCTAAATATTTTTTGTAAATCATTTCCAAATGAATTCATGGGTTAAAATTACAGATGATACAATCCTGGCCAGACCAGCAAATGCGCATTTAATAAAGTTAGATCAAAGCTAAATCAATTTGTGCAAGATCACATGGTGATAGTATTGTACATAACAGAATCAAATATAATAAACAATATAATGTTACAGTAAAACAAAAAAATAAACAAATGTTTCTTGTGAGATTTTAGGATGCACGTGCCACTAGGCAAAATATGTCCTTTGATTGAAACAAAACAAAGGTATTGTCACGATCGTCTTGACGAGAAGTAGACCAAGGCGCAGCGTGCGATACCAACATGACTTTAATAGGTAAAGTACACGAAACAATACAAAACACGATCGTAAAGTCCACAGTGACAATGACTGACAAGGAACAAAAACCCACAACCCCAAGGTGAAAACACACAGTTTAAATATGGCTCCCAATCAGAGATAACGAGCCGACAGCTGACACTCGTTACCTCCGATTGGGAGTCAATTGACCAAACAAGGAACACACAACCAAATAGACAACCCAACCAAACAGAACACAACGAAACGAACACACCCTGACTCAACATACAAAGTCCCGGAGCCAGAGCGTGACAGTACCCCCCCCCCCTAAAGGCGCGGACTGCGACCGCGCCTCAAAAACCCCAAACAGGGGAGGGCTGGGTGGGCATACTCCTCGGAGGCGGCTCCGGCTCCGGGCTTGACCACCACCCTTCTTCAACCCCCCCGTAGCGCCCCCGGTCCGATCTGACCCAGCTGGTAGGATCTGGACTGACGACGCGCACCCCTGGCTTGGCGCGTGAGGCAGGAACGGACCGGACCTGGCTGACGATACGCACCCTCGGCTTGATGCGTGGAGCCGGAACGGACCTCACCAGGCTGACGACTCGCATCCCTGGCTTGGTGCGAGTAGCAGGAGTGGGCTGGATCAGGCTGACGGCTCGCACCCTTGGCTTGGTGCGAGTAGCAGGGACGAGCTGAACCAGGCTGACGACTCGCACCCTTGGCTTGATGCGAGTAGCAGGAACGGGCTGGACCAGGCTGACGACTCGTACCCCTGGCTTGGTGCGAGTAGCAGGAACGGGCTGGACCAGGCCGATGACTCGCACCCCTGGCTTGGTGCGAGTAGCAGGAACAGGCTGGACCAGGCTGACGACTCGCACCCTTGTCTTGGTGCGAGTAGCAGGAACGGGCTGGACCAGGCTGGCGACTCGCACCCCTGGTTTGGTGCGAGTGGCAGGAACAGGCCGGGCTGGGCTGGCGACGCACACCGTAGGCTTTGTGCGTTGAGCAGGAACAGGCCGGGCTGGGCTGGCGACGCACACCGTAGGCTTTGTGCGTTGAGCAGGAACAGGCCGGGCTGGGCTGGCGACGCACACCGTAGGTTTTGTGCGTGGAGCAGGAACAGGCCGGACTGGGCTGGCGACGCACACCGTAGGCTTTGTGCGTTGAGCAGGAACAGGCCGGGCTGGGCTGGAGACGCACACCGTAGGTTTTGTGCGTGGAGCAGGAACAGGCCGGGCTGGGCTGGCGACGCACACCCTAGGCTTTGTGCGTGGAGCAGGAACAGGCCTCACCGGACTGGCGACGCACACCGTAGGCTTTGTGCGTTGAGCAGGAACAGGCCGGGCTGGGCTGGCGACGCACACCGTAGGCTTTGTGCGTTGAGCAGGAACAGGCCGGGCTGGGCTGGCGACGCACACCGTAGGTTTTGTGCGTGGAGCAGGAACAGGCCGGGCTGGGCTGGCGACGCACACCGTAGGCTTTGTGCGTTGAGCAGGAACAGGCCGGGCTGGGCTGGCGACGCACACCGTAGGTTTTGTGCGTGGAGCAGGAACAGGCCGGGCTGGGCTGGCGATGCACACCCTAGGCTTTGTGCGTGGAGCAGGAACAGGCCTCACCGGACTGGCGACGCACACCGTAGGCTTCGTACGTGGAGCAGGAACAGGCCGGGCTGGGCTGGCGACGCACACCGTAGGCTTCGTACGTGGAGCAGGAACAGGCCGGGCTGGGCTGGCGACGCACACCGTAGGTTTCGTACGTGGAGCAGGAACAGGCCGCACTGGACTGTGGAGACGGATAGGAGACCTGGAATGAAGAGCGGCTGAATGCCTACCTGCACACACTCTGTGTGAGGCATCCGCACAGGACGTACAGGGCTGTGTACCCGTACCGACATGACAGCACGTGATACTGGAGCAGGATATCCGGGACCGCGGAGAGGCATAGGAGACCACGAGCGTTGAGCCGGCACACTCCGTCCTGGCTGCATACCCCCCTTCGCACGACACGTGCGGGGTGCTCGCACAGGACGTACAGGACTGTGCCGGACCACTCGTGGCACCGTACGCTGCTCCGCATACCGCGGAACCTGCCCCGTCCCATGCTGCCATGCCTGAGTACGGGAAGTTGGTTCCGCTCTCCATCCCGGCCTCGCCAACCTGCCTTCTGGCCCCCAAAACCCGGTGGCCTCCTCTCCAAAATGCCCTGTGGCAGCCTCCTGCTGCCCAGCCGCCCAAGCCATGTGCCCCCCCAAAAATTTTTTTGGGGGTTGCCTCTCTTCCATCCGACGATGGCCCTGCAGATGCCGTTGCTCCTCTCCATCCTGGGTCTCCCCCTTCATCGCCCTCCGGTACCGGACGGCCTCCTCCTCGGTAATCTGCCCCCAACCGAGGAGGACATCCACCAGAGTCACCTCCTGCCTGTGTTCCTGGACACGCTGCTTGGTCCTTTGGTGGTGGGTTTT